TCACTATCCACAGAGTTTTCATGGCAAGATATGGAAATAGATTGTCAGGCCTTTCTTCCTCGCAGATAGTGCTAGTGTTGTTGTCGTTGTCACGGAAACATGATCCTCCGCCGCCAACACCACCCCATACTGCTGCTGCCCGGTATGGATTATTAGAGAACCTTGCACCTGAAATGGGACATGACCCCACTACTCGGAGATTATGAGTCTCATGCTCTACTAACAAAGCTAGTCCTAGAATCAAGTACTTGGTTGTTAATCTACAGTATGACCTAATGGGAATCTACCCAAGGAAAACGGTTTTGATTTGAGCTCATCAAGGTATACAAGGTTGAAAACACCAACTGTTTTCACTGCTGATGTTTTTGCCTTTGGTTTTCTCTTGAAAGATTTTGTCAGCGGCTTACGAATGCAGAGCCAAGAAAGACGAGTGCGATTTGGCGGAATACTGCACAGGCCAATCTCAGTGGTGCCCAGAGGATGTGTTCACTGTCAATGGGGTGCCGTGCAAGCGAGGTCAAGGGTACTGTTACAATGGGCAGTGCCCACTCTTCTCAGACCAGTGTCAGAGGATCTGGGGGACAGGTATGTCTGCATTGCCTGGGTCATCTACAGTATTTGCTTGTCTTGTTCTTGGCAAACGCATTGCATCAATCGGTTTACAGGTCAGATGCCATCAGAAAGCCTGAATGACAAATAATAGAAGGTCACACTCCACTGGGATCTTTATTTTGATTTGTGTGGAATTCTTCTAATTATTTTCAAACTAACCAAGGACCTCAGATTTTCTGCTGCCGCATGAAAACTAAACTGTCCTGTTTGGTGAAGAGCGACGTTGTGTCTGCTGAAGATGGGAGACCTTAGTCAGAAAGACTATCATTTCTGAGCATTGTAATAGCTTCAGTTGCAAATTTCCGTGGTGAAAATGTATCCCCCTATTTTAAAAATGCAGCAAAGTCATAATTAATAAAACTTAAAAAATAGAAAACATTAAGATAAGATAGGCTAATGGTTGTGACAACCTCTACTATGAACAGTCTCAGGAATAGAATTTTCATGTACAGTCAAAAGTATTGTCTACCACCCACACCGTCACATTTGTACCCACTGAAAGGATCTATAGGTTCCTCAGTCCAAGTCTTCGGAGATTCCTTCCAACTGACTTATTTTTAAAGACTGGCTGCACCCAGTGATTAATCTTTTCTTAACTAGACCATATAAACCAGCTGTCTCAAACTCTGAAAAAAAATTGTCTTGAATAGAACAACCGTTTCCTCATACCAGAATTTTTCAGATGTATCCTCATTAAAGTTTGTAGTTTTATTCATCAAGGGTGTGAATTTTAAGCAATTGGCCATTTTGAAATGACTTAATATACTTATTGTGAGCATGTACCTGAGGATAGATACAGAGAAGTTTTATTAATTCCATTATATATTTCTATTGCAACTATTAATGTAAAGGAGAATATATTTGATACCAAGATTTAGTAAATTAAACAGGTCACATATTTCTCAAAACCATTCAATTCAGACTTCTCAGTCTCAAGTCCTGAGGATACCATGTGATTGTTTTTACAGCTTGAACTATTTGTAGCTATTTTCATGTGTTAAAATAAACCTTTTGATAAAGCATTAAAAAAAAAAAA